TGCGTTAACTGGCCTCCTCTTTTGTTTGTCGGGGATGATGGTGCGTGTGAAACCAAGGGGAACAACGAGGAGTCTCGTCGTTCCTTCGCAGGTTGCTCGAAAAATTGCGATTTTTATTCCGAAACAGGTCTTATCCTTGATACGAGTTTCGTGGCGTTTATTTAATGCCTTGTTTTTCTTTCCCTTTTGTGTAAAACACACTCCTGAAAACGTGTTTCTGTTCGCAGGGATGAATCGGCCTGCTATTTTCGTTTCTTATTTGCTTTCTTTTGTGCCGGGAACAATTCTGATTCTGTACGGTAACACTTTTTAAAGTACAATCCGCACAAGAATATTGTGGTATAGTAAGTACAACAATGCGGTTTGTGTGCAATATTTATAGGTACAATATTTGAATTAGCTTGAAGTCGAAGAAACTGATATCTACCGTTGACATCGTACCGAAAATGTACCGGTTAATACCTCGTACTTTCGACGTAATCAATATGTATCGATATCGGTTCGATCGGTATCTATTTGTACCAGATCGGTTTCGCGATTTCCTTCTGTTTCTTCACAGTCAGCATTTCGACAGTTTCCTTTCCATTGCACGCTTACGAATTCGCATAAACGTTTGGACAAACTTTGCGCCGCAAAATTGAAAGTCAATGAGTTAGCGAAGCATAAATCACGAGTGCCATGGGAACGGGAGGTAGCCGACAAATCGGATGCTCGAAACCGTATGTCCAAGTGTGGAATTCTTATGCCTTTCTTCATGTATCCATAAATTACTTAAATACTGTTTTATATTAGATTAAATTTTTATTCGTTTCGTCAACGTTTACCAACTTGTCATCAAGTTAAAATTCATGATCATACAATCTTTTAATCTAGAGTTAAAATTTAAGTGTGAAATCAATGAGTACATTGTGGAGCGTATATTGTTGAAAATCGATCGAACCCACCCTTGAAGAACGCGTCGTGTCCGTTGTATAAGAAGACACTTCGCGTGTACGGACAGCGTTGTACTCCGGTTCGTGGGTGCCGACGAGATAAGCGAGTCGGCGAAGAAGCAAGGCGAGTAGACGCGAGAAAATGGAGCAACGCGGTTTCTGTGCTACGAAACACAAGTCCAGCAGAGTGATTCAAATCGTCCTCGTGCCGCCGCGACTTCTCCTCGAGGAGTTCGTCGTTTATCGCCACGCGAATCGAACTCTCTGTCGCTTTTAACGATCGGATAAATTTATAACGTGGCTGGAGTTTGCCGACGGAGGCGATTTCGAGTAATACATCCTGTCTAAACGTCAGCGCACTTAACTCTTTGAAGTATGGTGCCAGCAAACACATTCCGTTTCAAACATAAATACCTTTTATGCTTCCAGGTGTTTAAAATATTCATTTGAGCGTCATTTTACAATGGTGACAAATTTATTTACAATGTAAAACGGTTTTCACTAAGCGGTGTATGTAAAGATTTATATGTCGTTCACATATGGTTGACGACGCATAAAATGTTAATTATGTTCTTCAGTTTATGATAGAATAATAGTTCATATGGAACAACACATACTTAGGGTTCTGAAAAATGTATTCAAGAATGTATTCATGCCTCCGGGTGAATTTGAAGCGATTAAACCTCCGCGGTTTATGGCGCCATCAAGAGAGACAAAAGAGATATATGTGTCGCGATTACCGAAAGAACTAAGAAGCCATAAAGTAAAATCTCGACCTCTTCGGAAAGAACAATTTGAAATGCAATACCGTGGTGAAACGCAAAAGAATAAAAATCTCGAATACAATTTCTCACTCATCTCAGGTTCTCTTGAATCATCGCATGAACTCGGTGTTACATTTCCCGCTGATTCTGCACCGCACAAACATGCAAGCATCTCGAAAGCAAAACAGTAGATACAAGTATACGATGCAACAGCTGACTCGAAATTGATAGTCATAAGCAAGATGCGAGTAGAAAATAAAGCTCGGAATCGTTGCCTCCGTGTCTCCATTACGAAACAATTCGAAGGAACGATCGGCTAGCGTGCACACAGGTAACTAACCCGAAGAATAAAGCGTTACGCGAACGAGCTGTTTACGACGGCAAGTACAAGGGTCCTTCGTCAAAAATCATTATACCGGTCTCGGGCCACGTTGTTATCGTTTCTCAATCGACCGATTCGAACGATCCCGTCGAGCCGTGATAACCTGATTTAGCGCCGGTGACACATCGTCGAACGAAACGGAAAATCGATCGAGCGGAATGCTCGAGTGTTCCTTTGTCTCGTAAATTCAACGACTAATCCATGTGTTATAGATCATAGCGTTTCTCTCCGACCAATTGTATACGGTTCGAAATTTTCGGAGCATGTTATTACCGGAACAATTTCGCGTTCGCAAACATGTTTCCTTTTACGATGGGTCATCGACTATTCGTAGACAATGCAGACGCATTAGCGTAATTAAGTAGGGGTTCTCTTATTAAAATACGGACTGTAGGGTCGTAGAATACCTCGCATACGTTGTAATGGAAATTTTCATACAAATTTCTGAGTTTACAAAATATTTTGATTCCTAAAGATTTTAAATTCGAGATTCCAAAAGATTCGGACCGTTGACGCTATTAATAATATTAGGATACCTGGCCCCTACCTACGGTAGGTGTCATAAACATGCTAATGTGGAAACTTTTATGATGCGCTCAGGTAGAGCGACTGAAATTAAAATTGAAGCGCAATTGATTGGGGATTTCAATGCGTGGTAAACGTTTTCTTTCTCGAATTCGTGTAAACAAGAGATACAATAGCGACTCGATTTGATTCTCGCTAACAATTCTAGTCCTGTAACTTCTCGAAATAAAATCGTGTTAACGGCGAACGAAGAAAGTTGCCGACATTTCCTCGGTCCATTTACGAGAAATCAGAAAACCGCAATGGGTTGATCTGGTCGACAAGAGGTCACGTGGCGGGATCATTAACGGAGCATGCATCTCCGGTGTTCGCCCCCTCGCCGGGCAAAAATGCCGAGCAAAGTTCGTGAATCCTGGTGTTCTAGGGGGAGGGGTGTGCACGCACACTGTCGAACGGTCCCTCGTGTTCGCACGCACGTGCGTGTGTGGGTTCCAGCACGCGTGGGCGATGCTGTGGCACGCGACACGACCGTTACGTTCGAAACCGAGGCTGGCGG